ATCGGACCTTCGGAACAGGGGTGGCCCACTTGGCAGATTTTGACTCTATTAAAATCTGCTTTTGTGCCTATTAAGTGGGATTTTCATCAGAAAGAGATTTTAAATATCAGTTCATTGTTCCCAGCTTTTTTATTTTTGTTTTTAAACATTTTCAAAGATTTTTTTAATTTATAAAAATATCCGTTTTATTTTACATATTTAATTATTTTAATAAACATTATTTAAATATCTAAATTCTTCGAGTTTTCGCTCAGTGCACTCCAACCAAAGCTTGAGAGAGCGCTGAGAATCGAAACGAATCGAATCACATTGCATTGCATCAAATCAAATCAAATTTAATTGAAATGCCATGCAAAAATATTTTGAGAGCAGAGACGAAAATTGATTGATTTTTGGCTAGCCATCGAAAAGTCCGATTTAAATGCCACGCCCCCTTGGCCGCCCTTCCCTTGGCCCCAATTTTCCCTGCGGCCAGCACTCATTGATATAATTACAAAGTTTTGTTGGCCAGTTGATGAGCCAGTTGGAAAACATAATCAAGAATGCGATTTTGCCGTTCGTCGTTCGCCGTCTCGCTTCCACAGCCGAAAAAGTTTCAATTTCAAATGAAGTTTGAACAGGGGCGTGGGCCAAGGGGGTGAAGGGGGTAAAAGGGGTTACAAGGGACGACGGGCAATAAAATAATCAAAGCGTGCACAAAAGTGCAACGAGAATTGCCGAAAAACTGGTAACAAAAGTAAGCGAAATGAAGAAGAAAGGCAGAAAGAAAACGGGGTGGCGATGCCATCATCCGAATAGTGGAAAAAGCCAAAAGGCATGGGACAAAAATGAAAGGGTATTTTAATTATGGAATCGAAGTTAAGAAATGCCACTAGATTTAAAAAAAAGGTGTCTAAAAGTATGTAGCAAAATAAATTAATAGTCTACTTTCTATTGCATTCTTTTACGCACCATTTAAAGTGATTTCTGTGATATCGCCTATTTTTATTATTTTATATTTGAATTTTTAATATTTTTTTAAGGTATATACCAAACTTACAGAGTGTCTGGGCACTGAAAAAAGGGTTTGCCCGGCTGCGGGCCAGTGCAAATTTACCTGAAGACAGGGGGCAAAATGGGGGCGGAAGAAACCAGTAGTGAGTGGGAGGGGCGGACAAACTAACCGGAAATCTAGTCGAAAAATGGGCAAAGTTGCCAAACGGAAGCGGGGCGCCCGAAAATGCCAATGCCGTTAGTCCAGGCGTAATGAAAGTCAGCCAGAAAGGGACAGCGGATGGGCGGTGCGAAAGAGACAGGGACAGCTATTATGCGCCATTAGGGCATAATTAAAATGCTCCAAGCAGCAACAACAACAAGTGCGTCCAAGACGCTGATAATGACAACACGCTGGAGCAGAAGTATCAGGTGGAAAATGGAAAAGGTGCAGGTGAGCGGAAGAAAGCGGAAGAAAGCGAAAGAAAGAGCGGTAGAGCGGCGACAAAGTTGCCAAGGCAAACAGAAGTGGTCAAAGAAAGGAAAGGCACCAAAAAGGGGTTTGTTTTTGGGACTAAGAAACGATTCAGTAAACAATTATATATTTTAAATCCCTTGTAAAAACATTTAGGTGTTTTTGAGCTACAATATCTGTGAAATGGACAAGTTCATTCATTTTCAAAATATAAATTTTTTTAAATACCAAAATTAGTAAAACAAATTTTACTTAATTAATATAAAATTCTAAAGTAATTTTCTAGAACCCCTTCTCTTTACCAAATCCAAACACCACTGCTTAAAAGCAGTTGAGATAAAGCAAAGAAAAACAGTTACAGATATCCCACTTAAGATGTTATGTGTGTCTTTTTTTAGAGCTCACTGTATTTGCAATGTCTAAAACGAAGCTAGGAAAAAATAAAATCACTTGAGCTTTTGCTCGGAAATTTGTTTAAGGTTTTGTTAAATAATAATTAAAAGAAATTTTAAGAGCAATAAAAAATAAATATTTTGTATTTAACTTAAATAATTTATAAAGAAATGAGGAATATTTTGCTGAACTATTTTCCTATAAATCCTGATGATATATATCGATGCTATCACTTTGGTGGCCACTGTATGCAGCCCGCTGACCATTTGGTTTGGAATTGGCAATAAGGACTTCGAAAAAGGACTTCACAGCTTCCCTTTTGGCTCTTTATTTTTCTTTTCCTTCCACCTCCTTTTTTTTCCACACATCCCCTTTATCAATCTGTGCAATGAATTTTGGCAATTAAGCAATCACTTCGCTCATATGCAAAGAAATTTCGGGGGTTTGGTTGGGTTTTTCAGGGGATGAAGATGTGGATGCAGGGGAACTTGGGCTCCAAAGACGCTGGCAGAGCTCAAGTGCACTACCCAGCCGAAAAACTAGTCTCAACTCGACTCAATGAAATGTTTGTCTGTTATATGTACCGTTTCGTTTCGTTTCGAATTCGTCCTTCTTTTTTTGGGGGGCCAAGAGGGGAGATCCTTCTGCTTTTTCTGCTGATTGCCTTACGCTACAACAGGCAATCTATGGGAATAAAGATATGCATATGTGTGCCGTGTGTGTGTAAGCCATGCATTTTTATGGCAGTGCTTTTTTCGGGGCTAAGGGATGGGGGTTGGTATGAGGGCTCTATGGAGAGAGGGGAACGGGTTAGAGCATAGAACGCTCTCGAAAAAGCAAAAGTTTTCACTTCAAGTACTTTTTTCGCTCTGCTTCTTGGCTTTACTATTTTTTTCTTCTCCTCTTTTTTTTTGGCAATTTGCTGTTGTTGCTGTTGTTGTTGCATCATCATTCGCCTGGCAAAAGAGTTTGAGCACTTGAGTAGCATTAAAGCATCAAACGATTGTCTACGGAGCCAAAGGCAATTGACTTCTCCGCTCAGCGATACCGGAGAATATGTGCAATGGGATGGGATGCACGGGGGATAGGTTCCAAAATTGGTTGCCCAGGTAGCGAGAAAATGACTGGAAAATATCAATAGAACAAAGTTAATAATACCCTTTGAAAATATATATTAATATTAATATTAAAAAATATATATTATTATAATTATGATCTTAAAAAATGGATTATCTGTATAACTTAATAATATAATAATTTTTGTTTCCTTACATTACTCAGTTAATATTTAATAATAATTTTCCCAAACCCCTGAAACTAAAAATCTAAATGATATGAAAATAAACTTTTTTTACTGAGATATTACCCTTCAATAAACTCAAGTTTTGCCAATTCCCCCAAAAGGGTATCTAAATTGGCTCATTTTCCATTTAATACGTGTGTGTTTTTGGTGTAATTTTAGTGCTACAGATTTTGATTGGGAATTTCGTTTGGCTTCTCAGCCGACTTGACCTCATCCTCATCACCGTCGAGGGAAAACTGATAGCAATACCGACGATACCCCTCGACCATCAATCAGATTTTCCTGCGTGATGGGGAAAATGAAGTGCCAACGTTTTCGGCAAATGGCCAACAATCCAATCAAATGCGCCAATTCAGCCGTCAGCTGTGCAATTAGTCGCACTGAAAGAAAAATGGAAGTGATTGGGAAAAGATAATTAATTTAAATTTTGTTAACCCTTTGTAGGGTATTTAAAATAGTTACCTTCCCCCAATTCTATTTAATTTTCCAAATAATAGTTCACAAGGGGAAGGGGTCGAGGCACACAAATGATTTCAATAACATTTTTACATATTTTGTGCAATTTATTCTGGCTATAATTTCATCAAAGCTGCTTTTGCCCCCTCTTTCTGGCCAAAAGGGGTCATTGCATTTTCAATTGCGGCATAATCGGACACAAAATGTTGCGAATGTATAATATAATCATTGTGTTTTTTCGGCTTTTTGTTCGTTTTGCTTAGCCGGGGTGGCATTGAAATAATTTAAATTATTTTCACATTGCATTGGAAATTATGGGCAAACAATTAAGCGGACAGTTTTTGGCCTTTGCCTGCGGCCAATTGCTGTTTTCTATTAACTCTTTCGGCCCAAAGGGGCTTAAATAACGCAAAAACACAGTCGCATTTTGTGACATTAAATGGCATTTGAATATTTTTGCGTACTGCGTTCGGAGGGCAGAAATGCAATTAAAATGTAAAAATTTATTAAGCTACTTTGGCAATTTTCCTAATTACGCGCATTAAAAGCAAACAGTGAAAAAATGTGCATTTTACCGAGCGAAAGCGGAAAAGTTGACTAAATATTGCAAATTTGATTGTCACACAATTTCGGCTGCATACTTTTGGGGGGCGGTAGAAATTCTTTCGCCTTTTCTGATGCAATTATGCTAAGCGGAAAACAGTTTTCCCATTTTCCACCGGACGAGTTGGACAATTACCATTTCTTTAAGTTGTCGAGATATATTTTAATTAGTCGGCAAATTTGTCTCAGTGATTGGAAGTATAATTTCGTTTAGAACTTATGTTTTAAAATTGTGTTAATAAAAATATTATAAAATATAAATTCGTTATTTGTAAGCAAATTGATTGATTGATTGTGATTTCTATGACATTTACTTACTTTGCAAAATATTTGATATATCCAAGTTAATTTAATAATATTTATTTGTCGTTTTATTTAAAGCCTTGAATAATTCAGCATAAATGGCCTTCGGCCATTTAAAGTATTTCAAAAGTTATGGAAAATAATTGCATAACACTCATTCGCAGCATTTTTTGGTGTTTATTTCGAGCCATTTCGCTGACACTCGACGCCTTTTTTTCCGCTGACCTCTGTTTTCGCGTATTCCCCATTCCCATTCCCAATTCCATTTCCCCCACCAATTTCCATTTCCATTTCAATTTCGCTTTCTGCCGCCGCTGTTTTCCTTTTTGAGAGCTGTCGCCGAACATGATTTATGCACCGCCTCCGCAGGGGGCGTGTCACTTCTATTGCTGTCGTTATTTCTCTGGCCGCTGACAGAATCTGCCATTGATCGATGCAATTTGCAATGGATTAATCACGCAAAGAGCACTACAATAATGAAATATATCTTTTCAGCATGCAATTCGGTGAGAAGAGGAAGTTAATAATTGCTGGATGCATCCTGCTGATGGCGATGCTTCTGGTCCAGGCGGAGGATCTCGGCTCCAAGGATGCACCCCACATAAGGCACAAGCGCGGAATCTTCTGGGATTTTTTCCAGAAAATGGTCATCACCAAGAACCTCATTGTGGATGTAAGTTATTATATTTATAAATAATATTTTATTAGATTTTTAATTCTTTTATTTCAGCAATACACGGACACCCGCAACACTCTTAACGATATTTATAATACTGTGAATGAACAATTCAGCGATCCTGGTCCCGAGAAACCCACAAGTCGTCCTCGGGTGACGACCGAGAAAACTGTGAGTTTCTTATGATTTTTGTATTAGTAAAAATCTATATGGTATATTTTTATATTTATTACAAGTCCATAAGCGGAGAGGAGAGCGGCAGCAATAGCGAGGAGCCCACCACAACGGAGGCCTTCCAGATCTCCCGTTACGAACTGGGTCGCATTCTGGGCAGAAACTTCCGGGGTCTTCAGAAGTTGGCCATGACCGAGTTCAACACGGCCCTAAATGTAAGTATTAATAAATCATCAATTAGAAAATTATTTAATACATATACATTTAACTTGAATACATACACTACATATTTAAATTTAATAAAACAAGTAATATTTAAAACAAAATATATTTAACTGCCTGATTAAATTTGAAAATATTTGAATCAAGGTAGAAAATATAAAACGCAATGTTGGTTATATTTACTTTACATTTTGCAAGTCACTAAAAAAATAATATCATACAAAAATTAAAGCTTAACATTTTCAAATGTATTATTTTCAAATTTAAAATAATAAAAATAAGTAAATTTGGTTTAATAGTAAATAAATTCGAAAATAAATGCATAGTTACATTTAAGGTTATTAATTACTTTATTTTCTCACAAATTTCTTCTTCAGGCCACCAAATACAACCTGGCCGAGTACAAATCGGAGGCGGATAAACAGTTTGCCAACAGTTTGGCGGTGGAGAAGAAGAACAAGCTGAAGAGTCTCAAGGGCTGAGGAGCCACGCCCACTCGCCTTCCCATTTTCCATTTCCCAGTGCCTGAAGGTGATAGTTGTCTCTGTGATAGGTTGATGACTGCATCCCCCCACCCCCCTTTTTTTTGCCTATTTATTTTTGTTCAAACAAAAAGCGGATGTGGGTCCCCAACGCATGCGGATTCGTGTCTACGACTATTGTGTGTCAAATTAAAAAGTTTTCTGTCATAATTTTATTGATAAACTTTTAAGTTAAAAAAGGAGCACCGAAAAAAAGTGGAAAACAAACACCGAAACGGAAGAGAGCAACCGAAAAGGACAAGGACGAAAAAATAAAAACATTGTAAGACGGAAAAGCTGGGAAAACTGTACAGAAATTGAAGGTCTGTGTTCGGTGTTCTGGACGTTTTGTTTTTAGGGTTTCTATGGGTATATTTATTATTTTTCTACTGTTAGTTTATAAAGTAAAAATAATTAAATAAAATCAATATTGTATTTATAAATATAAATAGGACCCAAATTCGATAAAGTTTTGTTATTCCTAAGTGTTGAACTAAACTTTGTTAACTTGAATAAAATACAAGAAAAATAAATGTATTATTTTTAGGGATATTTTGTATTATTTAGTTTTTTTTTGGTATATTACTTAGACTTTATTTTCCGTTGAATGTAAAACCTAAAGAGTCCCTGTAAACTTCCTCCTCCCCCTTTTCTCCACCCACAAATGCTGCAAGTTTGTGTTGGCTGAAATCGAAGTAAAGTTGCAAACAAATCCGAAAGGCAAAACTTGGCAAAATACAAAGACAGTTTTGGGTCTCTGTCTGCCCTGACCTGCAGGATATGCTTTCTCCTTGCTCCTCGTCCTGTTTTTTGGTCCTTTGGCCGCCGCATAGTTAGCAGAAACCACTAAAAGTGTCATAATTCGATGCCCATGAGATGGCTGTCTCGAAAGTACGTTGGCCGACAAAACTTTGGCGGTAATGACTGTCGTTCCCGCCTGGAAAACCCCCCCTGGAAAGCCCCCTGAAAACAGCAGTGCAACTGTGCGTATGAGCAACCTGCCTTGTCTGCAAAGTTCTGCCGGGGGAAAACAACGGAAAAGCCAAAAAATACCAGGCGAATGTTTGCCAGCCGGAAACTTATCGAAAGTGGAGTGGCTGCAGTTGACGGGGGCCGGGAAGTATCTCTCAGATAAACAGATTCCTCCACACTTTAATATTCATTTCACAGTTTGATTATCAAATCCATCGGGGGTGTCACACGTTTAGTTAAAGTTCCAAAAAATTACTATTAGCTATTAAATTTACTAAAAATTATTTACATTTTCGATTGTGAATATTTCATGTGCCAGATGGTTATTAAAAATAAATATCTTCAACTAACTGCCGGCGAAAATAAATACAGCGCTCGAATAAAACACATTCCAAGTGAATAATTTATTGCTAGAAAAATATTGTTCTGGTCATTTTGCCTTAAACAACTCGCACTCCATTCCCATTCCATGGAAATAAATCCCCTCCCCCCACAAAACACACACACATTCTGCTCTGCTTTTTGAAAAAAACCCAAAGTGATAATCTGATTTATGTGAAGTGTTTATTTTCGTTGGCAGTTTTTATTTGTTGATTGTGACATGTGAGTCAGTTGTTGGCTGTGTATGCTGATTGCCTTAATTGTTTCGGGTTTTGGCACTGCGACGCATGTGCAATTATGAGTAATTTGCACAATAGAACAATTAGTCTAACAGCCCAACAACCAGTTTAAAAAATAGAGCCAGTCCGGAAGTTTCGCATAAAAAAGCAGGCAGGCTCATCGCAAACTACGTGCTAAAGTTCAGGCACTATGACTAAATCACTTACGTAAGATCCATTACGATCTCATTCAATTAGCGGCCAAAACGATCTGTAATTCGATCAATCGATCGGGAAATCCTAGTTGGCATGCTGCAAATGTCATGACATTCAGTAAAAATCTACAGCTTGACATTGGGACATCCGCACTCACAAGCGACTAAATAAATTACCTCGATCGCATACAAGCTGACCGAAATGTAAACAAGCTGAGAATGACAAATGACAATAATAAATATAGGCACAGGGAAATACCCTGGAAATATCACAGATAACACGGGGCTAAAGGGTACAGACTTTGGACCTATTAAATTATTTTCTGACGCACTAAAAAGTATATATAAGAAATTAAATTGTTTACCGGTATTTATTTAAGATTTTTAAAATGGTATTTTTATACTATTATAATTACTTAATATATTTTAAAAAGAAGATATTTATAAATATCTTATATTTTTTAATAGTTTTTTATAATTTGTTAAATCAGAGATAAATATTTGATCTAGCCTAAAACGTATTTATTATCTTTGCCTGTCGAAAGTTGCTCTCTTTTCCAGAGATTATTGTATTTAACCAGATTTTAGGCCATTGTATTTATTTGCCTTTCACAAAGGAATAAACTAGATCACATTTAAAATACATGTATTAATGTCGTGATATCCATGGTTAGCCCCATGCAAACCCAAACCCTAACAAATCGCTCATAAATTATAGGCCAGCGAAATAAACGAACTGCTCGTCACGGTGACTGATCGGCAGCATCTCGGCTATATAATTTTATAATTCCGATCTGGAGTGACCGAAGGTTGATGGTTGATGGCTTATCGAGGGAGAGACGATGTTTGTCTTTGTGATCTCTCGAATGTTTCTGTTTCTGCGCATGATTCGAGTTCTCGGAAATAATTGTTTACAATGCGGTTTTAATTTGAATAATTACGATTCAAATGTAAATCACAGGCGGTTTGCCTTTCTCTCCACTTGTTTATTGCTTTAATGTCTGGGCTATTGTTCCCAATAATTCTACTGCTGATTCTGAGTAAATAGTAAATGAAACATGATTTTATTTGAAATTTCCTAATCTTTATTTACTTAAATATATTTATTGTATTTATTTGATTAGATTATATTATCCCCCTGAATTGAACGTAATTTTTGATCGGTTCAAAGATCCCTCAACAATTTTTCCGTTGTCTCTCCGAGTTAATTAGCTCTAAAATGATAATCCAGCTAATTCCCGCTTATCAGCAGGCCCATAAGTCGCAAAAGCACAGCTCACGATTCCAACATCACTTGATTTAGCTTTTATTTTTTATAGATCACAAGAAAAAAAGGCAAAAAAAACAAAGAAATAGATTTTATATAACGAAGAGAAGGGGGGCCTCCAATTGGGTGGTAAAGCCCTGAAATCACAAGAGTCAAAGGTTAATCTTCTGGGATTTTAGATGGCCGATCAGAGGACTCACTTTAGGGGGCCGGCGAGCTGGGTCCTCCGATGGGCGCCAACAGGACCTTCTCGGTGGGGGCGTCGTAGGCCACCGGGACCTTCGGGGTGGTGGAGGCCTCGTCGGTGAGCTTGTGCTTCAGCTCGTCGTACTTTTGGGCCACCGAGCTGCCGAACTCCTTGGCGCCCTCGCCGATCTTGTCGGTGTAGGGCTTGGCGGCCTCGGCCACCTCCTTGGCCCCCTGGTTGACCTTGCAGCCGAGGTTCTTGAAGAAATGCTTGAAGTCGCTGTCCTCGGGCCGCTGGGCCTCGTCGCACTCGCCGCGAACCTGGCCGGCGGCCACCAGGAGCACCAATCCTATTAAAGAGCACACCACGATCGATTTCATTGCGACTTTCGGCTTTCGGGCTGACAACGCGACTGATCGCTGATCGCTGGGCTTTCGAGACGCTGGTCTACGATCTAAAATCTCGGGTCTCTCGGGCAACCGGTTGCGAGCCCCCTGCCCCCTCAGCCAACCCCCCTTAGCCGCCACTGTCTGAATATAAACCCCAATCAAGTTGCGTTCGTGCGCTCGCTGCTTCGGCGTCCACTCAATGCGAACTGCTCTAGCTTTGTTGTAATAGCAGCTTAAATGCACTGCGAAAAATTCTAATCAAATTTACAAAATCTAATTTTAACTTAAAATGTAATTGGTTAATTTAAGATGTTGTTTAATAAAATCTGGCAGAGTATTCCATAGGTACTCCAATAATTTAAAACCAACAAATTTCTTAAATTATTTGTTTCTTTATAATTTTTTTTTCAATGTATTAGAATACTTAATTTCTACGATTATAAAATAATTGTCTTCATTACTCTTATAAAAAAGGCTAAAACCGTAATTATTTAAAGGTTACTATCTAAACCAGTTCCGAAAAATAAACTATTTAGAAAAGCGTATATTGAAAATAATATTTTTGTAAAAGATTAAATTTGTTGTAAATATAAAAAAGCGGGTTTAAATAAAAACTGTAAGTTGTGCCCGATTAAATATTTACGTATTGTCTAAACAAATTCTAAACAAAATTGGCGGATAATCAACTAAAATTGGCCAAGTCACGAGGGCTCTATTATTTACCATCAAACACTCAATTTTGACACTAAATCAAATATTATTTTCACTCCATTTTTTCACTCTGTCAGTTGATAAGGTTTTAGCACAGAAAAACAAACATTTTGGGATTTATTAAATATTATTAACTTTTAATTTTAAGAACAATTTAATCTTCTTCACTACAAAAAAAAATAAACTTAAAACTTAATTATAGAACTCATTGCACTTGTTGGCTTTCATTGTGAAACTGCAGAGCGTTGTAAATATTTTTTAAAATATATATCCCTTATGGATTTTAGTTCTTCCCGTTTTGGGGGGCACACGGCGGCCTCGGTCGCTTGGGATTCATCCAGTTGAAGCAGCAGCCCCGATGATCCCGCGCCGAGCACCCAAATCCCGACCAGACCATCGCCTGGATGATGGGCAGTGATACGGAGGCCACGAGGATGACTATCAGCAGTCCGCAGGTGCTCAGAAGCTGCATCTTCGCTGACGACTGGCAATTAATTGAAATTGAGATCCAGAATTGCCGAGAGTCTCCTGTTGCGCCTGTGACTCACTCAGCGATTCACCTGAAACCGGCTCACAAAGATATAAGTTACAGAAGGCCGGAGTTGCAGGGCTTCTTTACAGAAGCAGGCTGTTTGTTTATTTTTGGCCAAGAAAAACCCAGAAGAGAAAGTCGGGAAAGAATCGCCGGGTCCATCGACTGACTCACCTCACTCACAAAAGAACTTTAACCCAATTGCCGGGGAATCGGTGAACAAGTTTCGGGGCTTCCAGTTATGCTAAATTAAATGCTTAATAAGTAAACAAGAAAAAATGATCTGGAACTAAAAAATAAACAAGAGAATTGAAGGAGGGATTTGTAAGAATTTTTTAAAGATAAATAAATATTATACAAATTTATCATAAATAGGAAACGCTTGCTTCTTTATTAATTAAAATAAAATAAAAATATTTTTTTTAAATATGGCTTAACTAATTCTTCTGTGGAATGTAGTCCACCTCATTGGCATCATCCTCCAGCCAGTCCAAGTGAACTGGGGTCGAGGTGGTGAGTTCCTCCTTTGGATCATTCTTAGCAGAACTTGAGGCCTCCGAGGTGGAGGAAGACTCCTCCGTGGTGCTACTGGTGACCTGCTCCTCTGGCTCCTTCTCCTTATCCTTGTCCTTCTCCTTATCCTTTTCCGAGTTGACTGGCTGGGCCAGGACATTGACCAGCATGTTGATGCGCTGGAAGAGCGACCTGGTCACATCGCGGGCCTTCTCCTCCAGGATCTTGGCCTCCTTCTCGATGTTGGCTATCCAGGGCTTGGCCTTCTCCAGCGTGCACTGCAGGCTGTGGACGAACTTGTTGACCTCGCTGGGACTGGGAGTGGTCGAGTCGGAGTCCGAATCCCCTGCAGACTTCGCCTCCGAACCGCAGACAATCGAGGCCGCCTGCAGTTGGCCCAAACAGAGGAGCAGGCTGGCCAGGAGAAGCACTGCGAGGGTCAGGGAATTAGTCATCGCGATTGTGGACCTGGAGTCTCGAATCTCAAATATCGAATATCAAATATCGTGTAGCGCCGCGGAGGCCCCAAAGTCGACTGAAACCCGTTTGCAGCCGCCGTTGACCAAGTTCTTGGGTATCTGGTGGCTTTTGGGCTGGGCCTTTGGGTTTGAGAGGCGAAGCTCGGCGAGAAAGTCGTCGGGCAAGTGAATTGCATTCGAAGCGGGCGAAAAAAGAGAGAGGTTCAGAAAAGGAGAAGGAGAAAGAGAAAGAGCAAGAGAGAAAGGCCCAGAGAGAAGCGGAGAATTCTCCAGAAAATGTCAAAGAGAAGGAAAGATAGAGCTGCGGATAGAGAAAGACTCATGGGTTCCTAAAGGTGACTAATCCATCAAGTTGATCTGTTTACGCGGCGTCTCAATTATCCTATTAGGTTTATCAAATCTTCCGAAGAATCTAGAACAGGTATTTCTCCATTAGTCACACAGCAGTTTAGAAAATAACAAAAAGCGAATGATAAATAGTTTAGAAAGGAAAAAAAACGGCGTTTTAGTGTTTATTTGTTTGATTTTAAATTTAAAGAATAAAATTGGTGTGGATAAAATAACATACCCATTTGATTGGATTTATTTTTAGTTTTTATTTAATATTTTTTTTTTGGTAATATTTTTGCTTATTTTTTTATTACATATTTTAAAGACTATCTATTAAATTCCTGACAGGTTTTTAATATGTCAAGCTAAACAAGTTTTTTTATATATTATTTATAAAAAAATTAGTAAATTAGCGTTTTAGATAAAAATATGCTCAAAAACAAATCTAGATAAATAAAATAAACCAAAAAAATGCATTTGTAAAATGAAAATCACATTTTCCCCGCCTAGCATCGTAAAAAAACCAACCACCTGTGTATTTTACTTTCCATTTTTATTTACACAAAAAAAAAATCATAAAAAAAACTTAAACACTTAAGGGGCGAAGGCTACTCTCTCAGAATCCAGGACTACTTCCTCAACTTGCTGCAGTTGCCCAAGGCGTCCAGGATGTGGCCGTGGCCGCACTGCTGCTCGCCCTTGAGGATGTCCGGATTGATGATCTCGACGTTGGCCAGGAAGCCGCGATCCTTGCTCATCTCCTCGGCGGAGTCCTTGGCCAGCTTGTCGCGCAGATCGTCGAATCGGTCCTTGATATCGCTCCCCAGGACCTTGGCCTTCTCGCCCAGCTTCTGGGCGCCCTCCTTGAGCTCGGTGCCGAGGTCCTTGGCCTTCTCGCCCAGCTTCTTGGCGCCCTCCTTGATGTGGCAGCCCACGTTCTTGAAGAAGTCGCGCACCTCGTGCTCGGAACTGCTGCTGCTGCCGGTGATCTCGGAGATCTTGTCGGTCACATCCCCCAGTCCGGGCACCTTGTCCTCGCAGTCGAAGAGACCCGCCTGGCTGGGCAGGAATGCGCCCACCAGCAGCAGGACAACCAGCGATCCTTGCAGGCTATTCATCTCTATGGTATAGTATAGTATTCTGTTCCTTTGGCTCCTTATCCACGAAAACCAGACTGAACGTCGACTTGACTGCAGTGAGACTGACCTGGGGCGCCTCGATTTCCACCCATTTTATTCGATTCGCAGCGCCGTCGCCTTTGTGTGTCACTTGGCTCGCATTTTCCTTAATTCAATTGGCGAACGGCCACAATCATCGCAATTGTGCGCTGATTTAAGCTCGGCACTCGACAAAGATACAAATACAAAAGTAATGGAGAGATAAAGATAGAGATAAAGATACAGGGCGTTGAAATTCCCGGCGATAAGGTTATATCCCTATTCCAAAACTTTGTTTTTCACATTCACATAAGTAATACAAATAAATACGCTTTTTTTTTGATTTTGCTGAGCCGGAAGCTGTGACAAATACGGCATATAAATAGATTATAGACTTCGTACACTGTGCGACATGCGTTCAATTGCTTTTTATTTACAATCTCGAATTGACCCACAATAAGCACGAGCTATGATTGCATAACAATTGGCGAGGCCATAAGATTCTCGAAAAACTGCGAATAGCCGAGGGATAGGATGGGTCTCATAGCCGAAGTTCCTGGTTGTTTATAAAGGAAAACAGGGGAGGGGAAATCTAGAAGTCTCGGAATAACTCACAAATATTTTTCCACTTTGTGATACGATTTAATTTTTGGTCTAGTATTTAAATAATTAATATGACATAATATAGTGTATCCTAAATAATATAATAGTGGCCCGAAAAAAGGGAAGTAGCTTTCTGCAGCCAAATTGGCTTGTCATAAATATCTAAAAATAAAACAGAAGATTAGCTTTTGTTGGCTAAAAACTTTATCTATATTACAGATATCAAATATATTGCCATTTAATGTTCTACACCACATTCTATACAATCTCGATCAACCCTCTTTGTAGACAGGAAAAACACTAATAGTTCCGTAATTGCCATTTTATTGACACCCAATTAAGGCTACTTAATTCTGGCTGTAGTTCCAGGTGCCGCCATCGTGAGCACCAATTGAGTGGGTTTCCCCAGGATTGGGATTCGCATCGTACATATCCTCCAAGTCCGCTTCGTCCTCTTGGTCCTCCGGATCCTCGGTCTCATCATCGTCGTCGCCCTCGCCATCGTCTTCTGCCAAAGCGATGTCATCATCGGGATTCGGTTCCTCGACGATTTCCTCGGTAACTTCCTCGGGACTTTCTTCCGGGAATTTTTCGGTGGTTTCTTCGGTGACTTCTTCGGGGATTTCCTCGGTGACTTCTTCCTTGCCGCTTTCTGAATCGATTTCGGGATCTACATAGTCTTGTGGTTCCTCTTCGGTTTCCACTTCCGGTTCTTTAAGTTCAGGGAGGGGAGGTAACTCCGTTGTGGTGGTGGTTGTTGTTGTTGTAGTAGTAGAAGTGGTTGAAGGTGTACCTGAAAAATAAATACATTATATATAAATATTATATAACTTATTTAAGTTTTATATAATAGTATTAACTCACATTCCTCTGCCGTGGGATCAAATTCACAGCGAATGCTGCGCTCCATGGACTCATCCCTCAGTGGTTCCTGAGTGGTGGTGGTGGTGGTTCTGCGAGTGGTGGTTGTAGAGGTCGTAGGGGCCTCAGTGGTTGTAGTAGTGGTTGTCGTGGTGGGTAGCCTTTTTGGGGCCACAGGTTTCTTAGTTAAATCCCTGCCTAAAAAATTCATAAATCATTTATTTATATATTTTTATATATTATATTATTCTTCTAACACTCCGCTAGACTTGGCTCGAAGTCGCAGCGAATCCGCCGGTCCAGTTCGTCTTCGTCCAGTGGAACGACCACCTTCTTGGGCCGCCGCACATAGTAGACCTCCTTGACCTCGATGATCTCGAGATCGGGATCATGGGGCGAGATGCGCCGACGCACGAACCGGTGGCTCTGGCCCTCCGGCAAAGAGCGGGCCTGGAGAATTCCGGGCCCGAAGAACGCCAGGACGAGAAGAATTAGAAACAGGGATCTGCTCATCGCGTAGTCTGCAGCTAAACTAGTTCGCAGCAGCCTCTTCTCTCGCGAGCTTCTCGAGCTTGGAAGTGCGGAAGCTTATCAAATGCGATAACCTTCTGACCTTGGTCTCTCTTCGGGGTGTGAGAGAGAGAGGGGAGGCGGAAGAATTCGGGAAGAACCCCTCCGTGTGTTGCATACTTTCGGACTTCAACGCTTAATTGCGGCTCACGCCTCGTGACGATGCATCAATGTCTGCATAAATTAGATTTCCTCCACGGACGCGTTACAAATTAGCCGCAAACATAATTGCCACGAGCTTGGCTAAATGCCCCGCCCCCTCTGCCTTTACCACCCCCACCCCTTGAGGGGGAGGGAAGGGTAGAAGGCGCGACAGATGGCGAAAATTGGCAGGGCATTCGGCTGCCCGGTTTTATGGGGCATATCGGCAACGCCGAGCGCAAAACAAATAAATAAATACACCGATTTTGAAAACTCTATATAAATATTTTGATTTAAATCCTGAACTTTTATTTAGAAGCTAGCATGCGTAAAAAAACAGAACAAATAAATAAATAAAACCCATTTTGGAAGCTTACCAAATATTCCAAATAAATATTTTGATTTAAAAGCTTTACGTCTGTTTATACAAATTATTTTAGCAAATCGAAATTTCTGCTTAAATATGTTTTAAAAATAACAGTATAAATTATCTCCAATACTCAAAATAAGTTAGAAACAATTAGAAAATGAAAAAAAATATATAAAAATATATATAAGTATAAATAAACTTTTTGTTTGCCTTTAAATGTAAACATCCATTTCTTCTGGCGAATTTAGATGGAATATTTAATCAAATAAGTAATAAGTATCATGGGTTATCATATTTTTAAATGTAATCGATATGCTCTCGATCGGTTCCCTGGGATAACAAATTGCCGCGCAGCTGACTCATCCGCCAGTTTAAGGACCTCGCCCCTCATCGATATGCGATGAAAAATATGTAAAAAGTCATTTTCCCCATACATATTTCGCCTCACTTTCTCTGCGCTTCGTTCTTCCACATTCTTTTATTCTTTTTTCTCTCTGCCCCTGTTTGTTTGTCATTTTTCAATGGCAAAATCATGTTGTGTGGGGCATTTGGGGGATGAACCGAAGGGGGGTGCAAATTAGCCGAGCGACGGCGGCCACATATGTTTCAGTCATTTCCCAATAACATAACAGAAAACTGTGTATTTTCCTCGGTTTTTCTTTTTTATTTTGTCGAAAAGTGGGCGGCCGCGGGGCGTGGCACGGGATAGATAAACAAAAGTGTTGTGAAGAAAGAAACACACTGAAAATATGCATACGCTTCGAGTGCGGGCATCATCACTTTGATCAGTGGAAAAATATTTGCGAAATATTAATTAGTGCCATGTTTAGGGGGATTACGCGGATCTGTGGTGTCACTGTGATTAAATACATTTTTTTTTGGGTAAAACATATTTCTTTGAAGTGATTTTTTGCATGATTCCTCATGGTAAATATAAGTATTTAAATTGTTAGATTAATTGGTAATATAAAAACGGCTTATTTGAATTTATTGTATTAAATACAGAAATTTTAAAAATTTATTTGCATAAATTACAATTATCTGTTAATACTATAAAGCTCGCCTATTTTAAATGGAAAGTTGAAGCAGTAGGAAAAACTGTTTGACATAAAAACTTAAAACAAAAACCCGAAATTCTGAAATAAATCGAAGAGCTTATTAGTTCAACAGTCGAGTGTAAAATGGTAAGTTTTTCAATTCCTTGTGAATAAAATGAATATGCTAGGGTATTCAAATTGAGTTTTCGGTGGCTGATCTGATCTACGAAAAGTGCTCGCTGTGAGAGCGTGAAATATGCAAATCTTCTGCCCACCGAAGAGAGGGGGAGGGGGTTTCTTTTGGGGGAGAGTGGGTGTCGCAGGGGGCGCCTTCCTTTTTTTTGGGCCGCGAGATTCGGCCAAGACGAACAGTTGGCTACGAGGCACGTTGGCGGGCGGAACTCAAAGCGATCGCAGCTGATCGCCGATCACGGAAAAGAGCGAGACGGCAGACGCGATTCAGAGCGAGAGGGAGAGCGGGAAAAGCCCCCGGTGCGAGCGAGACAGCGCCACAATATATAGAAAATAATTATCTGCGGAAAATAGCGCTTTGTTTCCCCCTTTTTTTCGGTGTTTTTGTTTGCCAGCCCATAAAACTGAGTTTTTATTTGGTTTTTCTTTGTTTTTTGCCCTAAAAAGTGGCACAGTGTGTCCGAAACCTCAAGAGTGTCACCAAGAAGTCGGGAAAATTGGGAAATTGGGAAACTGGGAAACTGCCTCTGGGAGCGGATCAACTAAAAATAGCGAAACATAAAAGAGAGAGAATACTGACAAAAAAGAAGCCAAAAATAATTGAAGCGTGGGCAGCATTGAAAGGACAGTGAAGTCAGGCTAACAGGGAAATAAGTTATAAAAAAAAATAAAAAATAATTATTCCATAGCTTAAATTCTAAAAAAAACAAGGAAAAAATCACAAATAAATTAAAAAGACTTTACAAGATATGAAACCTTATAAACAAGTGCCGCCCGTACAGACATAGTTGAGATAAACAATAAATTGGCCTTTGGCCAAGAAAACGGCAAGAAGCAGCAGAAGATCAGCCGTGAATGAAGAAGAGGAAGCAGCAGCACCAGCAGCGGATAAAGGCAGATCAAACAAGAGAGCAACGGACAGCCAACAGGTGGATAAATCAGGGAAATAAATGAGCTGCAATGTCCCAGGAGGCGCAGGAAGAAGAAGATGAGGCTCTGCAGGAGGAGCAAGAGGAGGAGGATCCCCTGGCCAACCTGCTGAGTCTTAAGCTCAAGAAGCCCAACCACTGGAACTGGGAGCTGAGCACCTCGCGCAGCTGCAGCAACATCGCCCTGCCCCGGATCCTCCTCTACGATCACTCGGGCAATCTCCTCGTGGATGCCGACGGCCAGAAGGAGCAGACCTACACATCCCGGGAGATCCAGAGGCGCCGCAAACGCTCGGCCACCGCCAATTTGGAGCGCAATTTCCATGGCCTCCGGATAGCCGAGGCCACGCCCACACTCACCTCGATTTCGAGTGGCCGGGAAAGTGGCGAAGGCCGCCGGAAAACGCATGGCAGCTGCATTGACTTCAGCACCCACGAGCTGCCCAACTGGGAGCCCAGTTCCCGGCGCTCCAGCTCCCTGCGCGGCGTTCGCTTCCAGGAGGCGGAGTATCCAGAGGAGGAGCCGGCGGAGGTCCTGCCCGTCTATCCCACGCCACCCTCCACCTCCACCCTGAACTCCTCCAGCTCGGGTCCGCGGGAGAAGCGACGCTACCGCCGCTCCCAGAGCTCCATCCTCGAGCGGTTCAGCCTGTCGAAGGGCCGGCACTCGTCCCCGGAATTCGCCCAGGAGGAGGAGGTGGCCAAGGCGCCGCGCTACTACCTGCGAACCAGCAAGGCGGGCACTTTGGTCATCCGCGAGGAGAGCTTCAGCTCCCAGCGGCTGAGGCATCGTCGCCGTCGTCCGCCGAAGCACTCGTCCAGCGAGAACATCCTGCAGGAGAGGGAGGGGGAAAGGGAGCGGGATCAGGAGCAGCAGGTTCCAGCCAGCGTCGTGCAGGCCACGACTCGCAGGAGAGCGCTGGAGAGAACCCTGTCCTCCTCGGAGGACGAACAGAGGGACCGGGAGCCCAGGGAACCCAGGAGATCCAGGGGCAGGCCCAGGAACACCAGCCAACGCAGCTGCGGCAAGGATGCGGCTCAAGGTGAATTAAATAGCTAGGATAATAACACTAGTAAATATTATTTATTTTCATAATATTACAAAAACAAAGAAACCATAAAATAAACTAATATTATTAAAATAAAGTAAAACAAAAGGAGCAAATTCATCAGTACTCACAAAACCATATTAGGATAATACAAATTTGAAATACATATGGTACTGATTAATCTTAATATTCATAATAATATTACAAGGAAAACGAAAAGATAGTTAAATTAATAAAATTAAAGTATTAGGATAACACTTTTAAATTATGGACTTTATTAATACAGCTTGCTATTCAAATAAAAAAATACAAAATTATTAGATAAACTAATAGGATAAAAACAGTAGTATAATAATGCTCAATATTATGTTCCATTTATTATTTATTAATCTATATTTGTAAATTTATTTAAGATAAACGTAGCTTAACAGTATTTAAAGTTAAAAATATTATAATAATCTAATAATCTTTTCTAAATTCCATCAATTTTAAAACAAATTTCCCGTACATTCCCCAGAACTCATCACCGTGGATCCGGATAATTGTGTATATCGAGCAGCGCCGGGCGCCACCGCAAGGTAGAAGAAAAGAGGAAAATCTACCAGAAACCAAGAGAGAAAGAAGATAGAAAAGAAAGAAAGCCACCCAAGACGATGAGAAGTGAACTAGAGAAATACCTACACAGAAAGCCAGAGAACAGACAAAACTAGAGTTCCTCATTGTGATGTAAGACGATAAAACCTATGAAAATAAAAGAAAAACAAGAAACTTACGATCCAGTGGTAATTTTCATTTCAAGCTAAAGTGCCAGCTGTTTAAATCAAATTAATTGAGGTAAAACCACAAATTACATTATTAAATGGGTTCGGTTGTGCCAAAAGATATTCTCATCAAACCCATTACGAGGAAACTCTTACATTGTCACAGTTTGACATTTGTCCCATTAAAATATAGAACATTTTCAGACTATGCCCACTTAGGACCAATCAAAAACATTTGCCAAAAAGGTCTGTCAGCCTTTTCATTAGTAAAATATTTATATTTAAATTACCATAGAGCTGTGAATATTTTAAGTGAAAGAGATCATAAATTAAATTGATATTTTTAAGGAATATATTTAATTTATTTATTTTATATCCCATATTTTATTTAGGAATATATAGTAACCATTTTTTTATTTATATTGTTATTATTTTGTAGTTCAGTATAGCATTTAATATATTTTTGTATATGTCGTACTTTAAAATACTTTAAATATTTTAAGAACCAACAATAATTCTCTGAGACAGCCTGAAAGTATGCAGTGCTATCCCCCACTCGGATTTGGATAGATGGGATCTGAGATTCTGGAGTGTCCGGCGCAGCTCGTGGCTCTGGGTAAACAACGTAATCAGCTAGTGATAAGCTGGATCGTCGGGCCAGCGGCGAATGGGAGCCAAAACCAAAGTAACAGCTCAGTGCGATTGGAACCCTCGGAACGAGATGCGATCCGCACTGCTGTCCTGCTCCTGCTTCCTTCTGCTCCTGCTGCTGCTCCTCGGCTGCAGCTCCTCGTGCTGCGGATCGGGCAAGGTGATCTACTTCAACCAGCTGAACTCCAGCCAGTCCCTGGAGGCCTCCAAAAACACCACGGATGCCCTGGGCAAGGGCATGCTCTTCGATACGCGCGGCAATCGCTGTCGCCACGGCTTCGTTCGCGATCACCATGGGCGCTGCAGAAGGGTGAGTAAATCATTTGTATCATATCATATATCATATCTATTTACCCCTCTCTCAGCTGGTCTAAAAATACGGAATCTCCCCGCTTGGCTGGGTTAATTTTAAATGCGTGTTTATTTTAAGTCTGTGCGTTCTAGGAGATTAAGGTGAAAGCCTAAGCAAACTGTCTACAGAACCTGTAAAAACCATATGACAGATAGCGAAAATTAAGGCAAATATTATTCCAGTTTGCCTGGCAATACAATCTTTAAATATAAAATATTTAGGATTTAATTTTATTTTATTTTGTAACAAATAAATAATAATTTTAGATATGAAATAAAAATATTTTATATGCCAGTTTAAATTTTCCCCAAATCGTATTCCATATAACTATATTTTTAAGGCCCCCATTAACCGTAGAAAACCCCAGAGAATGGACGTTAACCCTTGCGCCTCGTCATGAAATCGAAACTACGTCACATCACGTGTCGCCGGTCACGAAAAGTATGATGAAATACCGGGCTCCGAGGGCTCTACTTCTGCAGATACCGCAGATACTCGTAGCAGATACAAGATACCAGATATAGAGTACAAGAGCCGACAACTCCGGGAGATAGCGATGAGTCGAGGAACGCTCTTCTGACTCAGCGCGATATTAATAATGAATCGCAGAGGAGCCTGGCATTCGGTCACATTTTCGGGAAATTTCAGCGGGTGTGCGGCGAGCGATAAGGAGGGTAAATATGCTGGATCTGTGACGTCCCCCGTTCCGTAATTGCCGTTAAATACTCAATGGGCTGTCGCGTGGTCACCACCCACTCCACCACCCAACCACCCGCTTTTCCAGAAAGCCCCGATGATTGGCCAAAACCAAAAGTTTTACACGGAATTTCGCATGGCTCACTCGGCGATCGTTACGCAGCGAAAATATTATTTAGCCTGGATTTTTTTGTCAAAGTTCATAGCGCTCTGGGAATTATTGGGACGCTATCTACTAGCCACTACTCTTCATCAGATATTGCGGCTAACTCACCGAAAATACGGGGAGCACAGGCCAATTAACCCACGTTCTTACTCAGGTCTAAAAATAAGGGTTATCTATTTGAGTGCGGTGGCTGGTTTTTTAGCAAACTTAGTTGCTCAATTGATTTCATTTCGGTGATGGGTTTTGCTCTGCGTTAATCTCGCTGGAAGGCGGGGCTCTTATTTTGTTTATTTAGATAAGATAGACGGCGCTTTAAATATATTATTCACCTATCAATATTATTCATGATTCTTAAAATTTTCAAAAACATTATTTTTCCAAAAAAATTATAATTTTAGACAATTTATATTTAAATTTCAAGCCTGTTTTTTTGTTTTTTAGTTTTCAACAGGCTACTATTTTTACTACTATTTTCTTGTACAAACATAACAACTTCTGAGTGTTAAAATAACTGGCTATTATTTGTATCTTCTTTATGAAATATTTTAATTAATATAATCTATAATTTCTAGAAAGTAACAGATATGTTTACCAAAGGAATAAATATTTTTAAAAATCTATAATGGTTAAAATTCTGAAGTTATAGTTCCCAGTACCCTAGGTGGGTATTAAAGTTCTGGTAAAATCATAAAAACTTCTGAGAAGAGCGGCGAAAAATCCCCTGTTCTATCTCTCGCAGAGAACCCCTTCAAATCCCCGTAAGTTCTCAAGATTTTGGGGGTTGCGTTGGGCCACGTCCTATGAAAATGCAATAGGCTCAACGATGGTGATATTATCGGGTCCGGGTCCCCTTTGGATACCTAGACACCTACAACCCGCTCGCTCGGCAACCGCGGGAATCGAAATCAGTGCTGAGCCAGAACTCAATTACACAGATTGCAAATGGCATGGGGGACAAGATAAGATTTCCCCCGTTTGCCCCTGGTACACGAAAAACACAGGGTGGTGTTTTCAAGACCCGAGGAACCCATAGCTCTACGAATCCAAAAAGAGGGCGGAGCACCCTGTTTGCGGTTTATCAACTCAATGAAAAGACAAGCGGGCAGAACACTTAAGAAGTGCTACCCCAAACTCGTATAAAATCAGTTAACTGCCGGCACTGGAGCAAGCCACTTCTTGGATAGCCCACCTTTTTTTTTCTTGTTTATCGCGCCCTTCGGAGATAAATAACAAATATATATATAACCAATCCACTTTTAAGCGAGAGAAACACAAAAAGATGTCGATGCACCAGCTGCTGCTGTACTCCCTCTGCCTCTGGGCGGTGTTCGTGTTCTGTGCCCCGCAGCCCAGTGAATCGCGTCGCGTGATCTTCCTGAAACCCAACGGCATCCATCGCGGCCAGATCCTGGCCACCCACGGCATGGCCAAGTCCTGCCCCCAGTGCCACATGATCGACCATCGCGGCAACTGCCGGCGCATCATAGCCTACAATGCAGGTGGGTCTATCTGGGATATTTCGGATATTTCTGCTACATCACGTATACGCATTACGTATACGCCTTAGTCACCCAGTCGAAGCCCGTGCTAATCTATCTCCGTGTCTCTTGCAGATGGCGTGCGCTGCTGATCCGAGTGATCCGAAGTGAATCCAATCATCGAACGAATCTCGCACTCTCTCAACCCAACAAAACCCTATTTATTTATCCTATTTATCTGCCTCGCACGCTATACATTTGAATAATATCATGATAATATATGAAAAATCCACCATTCAATTAAAGTGTTTAATTACTAAAAGTTGCATTCCATTTAAGGGCTTAATTCTTATCATTTAAATATTGCTAAGTACAAATGGGGATTTCTATAGCAGCGCATTTCTGATATCTGCCCCTCGAGTGGAATCGGAAATATTTGATTTAACAATTATAATGCCGACTTGACGCAAACGCCTGCGGCAGCTATCGGTGGCTAATTATTAATCGGGGGGCATTAATCGGTGCTCACCTGCAACAGGTGGGCCGCCTGTGACTCTCTTCGCCATAATTTATACCGCTGTTATCGTGGCCGAGTATTTACTGTATCAGCTAGCGCCTGCCTAATTGCTTCCCCAGATTGTTGGAGCTTGTAAATTGCGCTTACCACTAATGACAGTTCTAGCTAATTAATGTTAATCTGATTAAAGATTTATTTCGTAAATTTATATGTCAAATAAATAAATGGTTTGAAAATAGGATAGCATTTATTTTTGCATCTTGTTATCAATGTATGACTATAAAACTGTTTTTATAATAACTACCAAAAATCAATATTATTTATAATTAATTTCTATTTAATATGTTTTAATAAAAAATCAACCAAAATGTATACATATTTTTTAATTTTATTAGATGTGTTCAAGGTTAGTATAATAATTAGATACATTTTTAATTCTAAATTATTATATTTAGACATATCGACATATATTAAATCGATACTTCCATCTTAAGGATTTTGCAAATTTTCCTGTTTAACTTTCGTTCTCAACTACCGTCTATAATCAAAAAGAGCCCCATCAAGTCTTCTAATCCCCTGAAATAATACAAATTGGAGTAATTTTGCATGCGTCAGAGCTGTCGGCCATCTATCGATCACTTGAATGTGCCAAAAGGCTCGCAGAGATCGCGAAGTATATTCATATACACATATATAGCGCTGTATCGGGCGGATCGGGAGGCAAGGGCATTAAGGCCGTTGGTCAGACGTCCGCCAAACTTTGTACCGCTACGTCAGCTGGGGGAGGGGCCGGCACCCAATCAGCCATCCGTCCGCAGGTGATTCGGCTTCGATTCAGATTCATCAACCGCCTTATCGACATGTCAGCTGAGTCGGAGTTAATTACTGAATGAAATTCCGATTTCACAATTGGCCAAGAGGTGTCGGATTAGGGTGTGATAAATATTTAGGACTTGACCAGCACTACACAATTCGTATTTACATTTAAGTTGAACTAAGTAAACTCCAGAAAATAAGAATTACCGAAAAAGAATTTGTTAATACTTAAAATTACAATTTATTTAAAAATTAGATATTTGAAAAGATTGTTGCAGGATTATTTTCCCAAAAACTTATTTTTTTTACAGAAACAATGGAAATATTGATCCAAATATGGATTGTCATACCTTTCTGAACTCGTTATTAAATTTCCTATCGATTGGCATTTAAACCTGGACATTTTATTTTTTTTGCCATTTTTCGTAAAAAATCATGAGGTACCCCCCTTACAAAAAAATTGAAAATTTTCGAAAATTTTATTTTTGCAGGATCACCCGGGAAGTGTTATGGATTTTTTTATTGTTTAGTTATCTGTTCAAAACAGTATTCATTTTTGGTGTAGGACCATTTTTGGCCAAGTTATAGCAAAAAAACCAACACAAAAAATTCAAATTTTTGCCAAAAAATCAGATTCCAATTTTTTACAAAAAAAATAATTCGTTTTTTGAACGTAACAAAGGAAATATTGATCCACATATGGAGTGTCATACCTTTCTGAACTCGTTATTAAATTTCCTATCGATTGGCATTTAAACCTGGACATTTTATTTTTTTGCCATTTTTCGTAAAAAATCATGAGGTACCCCCTTACAAAAAAATTGAAAATTTTCGAAAATTTTATTTTTGCAGGATCACCCGGGAAGTGTTATGGATTTTTTTATTATTTAGTTATCTGTTCAAAGCAGTATTCATTTTTGGTGTACGACCATTTTTGGCCAAGTTATAGCAAAAAAACACACACAAAAAATATTCATATTTTTATCAAAAACCCAGATTTTAATTTTTTACAAAAAAATAATTGGTTTTTTAGCCGTAACAAAGGAAATATTAATCCAAATATGAATTGTCATACCTTTCTGAACTCGTTATTAAATTTCCTATCGATTGGCATTTAAACCTGGACATTTTATTTTTTTGCCATTTTTCGTAAAAAATCATGAGGTACCCCCTTACAAAAAAATTGAAAATTTTCGAAAATTTTATTTTTGCAGGATCACCCGGGAAGTGTTATGGATTTTTTTATTGTTTAGTTATCTGTTCAAAACAGTATTCATTTTTGGTGTAGGACCATTTTTGGCCAAGTTATAGCAAAAAAACCAACACAAAAAATTCAAATTTTTGCCAAAAAATCAGATTCCAATTTTTCACAAAAAAAATAATTCGTTTTTTGAACGTAACAAAGGAAATATTGATCCAAATATGGATTGTCATACCTTTCTGAACTCGTTATTAAATTTACTATCGATTGGCATTTAAACCTGGACATTTTATTTTTTTGCCATTTTTCGTAAAAAATCATGAGGTACCCCCTTACAAAAAAATTGAAAATTTTCGAAAATTTTATTTTTGCAGGATCACCCGGGAAGTGTTATGGATTTTTTTATTATTTAGTTATCTGTTCAAAGCAGTATTCATTTTTGGTGTACGACCATTTTTGGCCAAGTTATAGCAAAAAAACACACACAAAAAAATTCAAATTTTTACCAAAAACCCAGATTCCAATTTTTTACAAAAAAATAATTCGTTTTTTGACCGTAACATTGCAAATATTGATCCACATATGGAGTGTCATACCTTTCTGAACTCGTTATTAAATTTCCTATCGATTGGCATTTAAACCTGGACATTTTATTTTTTTGCCATTTTTCGTAAAAAATCATGAGGTACCCCCTTACAAAAAAATTGGAAATTTTCGAAAATTTTATTTTTGCAGGATCACCCGGGAAGTGTTATGGATTTTTTTATTGTTTAGTTATCTGTTCAAAACAGTATTCATTTTTGGTGTAGGACCATTTTTGGCCAAGTTATAGCAAAAAAACCAACACAAAAAATTCAAATTTTTGCCAAAAAATCAGATTCCAATTTTTCACAAAAAAAATAATTCGTTTTTTGAACGTAACAAAGGAAATATTGATCCAAATATGGATTGTCATACCTTTCTGAACTCGTTATTAAATTTCCTATCGATTGGCATTTAAACCTGGACATTTTATTTTTTTGCCATTTTTCGTAAAAAATCATGAGGTACCCCCTTACAAAAAAATTGAAAATTTTCGAAAATTTTATTTTTGCAGGATCACCCGGGAAGTGGTTTGGATTTTTTTATTGTTTAGTTATCTGTTCAAAACAGTATTCATTTTTGGTGTAGGACCATTTTTGGCCAAGTTATAGCAAAAAAACAAACACAAAAATATTCATATTTTTATCAAAAACCCAGATTTTAATTTTTCACAAAAAAAAAATTGGTTTTTTAACCGTAACAAAGGAAATATTGATCCAAATATGGATTGTCATACCTTTCTGAACTTGTTATTAAATTTCCTATCGATTGGCATTTAAACCTGGACATTTTATTTTTTTGACATTTTTCGTAAAAAATCATGAGGTACCTTACAAAAAAATTGAAAATTTTCGAAAATTTTATTTTTGCAGGATCACCCGGAAAGTGTTATGGATTTTTTTATTGTTTAGTTATCTGTTCAAAACAGTATTCATTTTTGGTGTAGGACCATTTTTGGCCAAGTTATAGCAAAAAAACCAACACAAAAAATTCAAATTTTTGCCAAAAAATCAGATTCCAATTTTTCACAAAAAAATAATTCGTTTTTGAACGTAACAAAGGAAATATTGATCCAAATATGGATTGTCATACCTTTCTAAACTCGTTATTAAATTTACTATCGATTGGCATTTAAACCTGGACATTTTATTTTTTTGCCATTTTTCGTAAAAAATCATGAGGTACCCCCTTACAAAAAAATTGAAAATTTTCGAAAATTTTATTTTTGCAGGATCACCCGGGAAGTGTTATGGATTTTTTTATTGTTTAGTTATCTGTTCAAAACAGTATTCATTTTTGGTGTAGGACCATTTTTGGCAAAGTTATAGCAAAAAAACCAACACAAAAAAATTCAAATTTTTACCAAAAACCCACATTCCAATTTTTAACAAAAAAATAATTGGTTTTTTGGCCGTAACAAAGGAAATATTGATCCAAATATGGATTGTCATACCTTTCTGAACTTGTTATGTTTCCAAGCATTTAAACCTTGACATTTTATTTGTTTGACATTTTTCGAAATAGTCCTTATTCCTGTTCTTATAAAGTTTATTTTTACATCTTGGTGAACTCGGATCTCTGGTGGTCGAGTGATTTATGCTTTCCACTGCCTGAAAAAGCCTGTAAATAAAATTCGACAAGTCGAAAGGCCTCGAACTGCGAGTTTTACTCCGTTTCCGCAGCATAACTTCGGGCTGAAGTCAGATCACACCGGATGGGCGATGGGGCGTCATTAGATAAGAGGGCTGGTCAGTGATCCACCCAGTGACGAAGACCGAAGACCCTAACTCCCGACTTCCCGACGCTTCTGGGGCGCCGACGCATGACGGTGGAATTTTACTACACCGCTCGTAAATTCCCCCGCGCTTTCGTCATAGCGAGGATCGAAAATAGCACAGCCAATGGCATTGGAGTGCCGTAGTATCGTAGTATCGGCGTGCCCAGGGTACCATATGGCAACCCACACGAACCAAGACCGCCGACAATGGGTATATCTGTATATATATTCATATTATATGCCCGATTTGCTGTATATATCTTATCGCGTGCCAACGGAATGCCTTTGGGGGGCTTATCTTATCGATATTGCGGGCCGGCGGTCGCCGTCTTTGGGCTATCGACGTTGAATATCGGCGGGCACAACACCGGAGAGCAGGCGCAGTCATAAAAGCGACTCCCAAGCGGATCGAACAAGCACGAAAACGAATAAAATCGCGGAGGAAAACCAAAGAAAATCGGAATCAAAATAAAAATCTATCTTTATAAATTATAAATTATATTGCAAAATGCAAGTCCATCGCCTGCTGATCCTGACCTTTGTGGTTCTGGCCCTGATCTTGGCCCAGAGTCCCCGGACGACGGAGGCCCGCCGCCTGATCTTCTACAATCCGCACACGAAGCCCCTGACCAGCCAGCTCCTCGTCTCCCGGAGGATCGCGAAACCCTGTCCCGCCGGCAAGATGCGGGACCACCGGGATCGGTGTCGTCGGGCCGTCATCTTCGGGCGCAGCAACTGAAAAGCAAATCTCCCCATTTAATGTATACATTTCTGCATACATTCCCCTACTTTTTTTTTGACCTAGCTTGTAAGCTAACTTATTTTAGACGTAGTTGCGTCACAATGTGACCGCCAAAAGTATTTATTACATTATTTATTTTGTAGCCGCTAATAATGATAAGTAATAAAGTGATGTCGATAAAGATAAAAACCACGCTCAATGTTTACTTAAACCTATTGTTAACTGAAAGTTTGCCAATAGATTGTTGGCTTGTCTTTGGAATATTTACAAATATTTATTGGGTGAGAAAAATATAAAATATAACTCTGAATAAATGTGTAATATTAAAATGCAAATCAGTATTACGTTTTAAATAAAAATCTTGTAATTACAGCAATAACTTTTTTTAACTTAACTTATTTTAATTCAGTTTGATTATATCAAAGTTGTAGTTTCAAGAATTCAGGTGACACTCATAATTGAAAGAAAACTCCACAGATGACTGGTTTATTTCCTGTAAAATTTCGCTGTATCCCATGATTCACTGAGAAACGCAGAAATCACCTTCTGTTTTGCTTGGTAACAAGATCCTTAGATTGGAAAGGAAATTCAATAAATTGAGCAACATATATCATATATAAAATAAGATCTTTGAATTATATTTTTAATATCCAAAAATAAATCAAATATTTAATACCCAATTCAGCTGAATTATATTTTAATTTCTGGGACTCTAGAAAAAGGGAAAGGGGTTGCTGGCCCACCATCATCATCATTTTAAGCCTTTCGGTGTCATGAGCTAACAGTTTAATCTGGAAACAGAAACAGAAATCGAGATTGCAGGCGATAGGCTGTGTGGGACATGTTTTAGTAAATTGCACGCCGGAAATCAGTGACGTCAGTGATATGACGACTTGGCTTGACAGGCTAGACAAATAAAAAGAGAGGGAAAACCTCTGTGTGGGGGAAATCCCTCAGGTAGCTCATACGCACTGTTGTACATTGACTTTTATACTAGGGAACCATGTGGAATTTTTCTGAGGTATATAAAGCAAGCAATACAATGCCAAAAAAAATATAATAAATATTAAATGTATAATTTATATTTCAAAAAATGATCTTAATTATTTGCCAAGGGTTTTTAAAGGTTTAGAATATTTTTCAGAGCTATTATAAGGCTTTTATCATTTATTGTTTAATTAGGCTAAGCAATGCAATGCAAAAAAAAATATAATAAATATTATATATACAGTTTATGTATTTCAAAAATCGCTTTAATCGCTTTTCAAGGGTTTTCGGTCTGAGTTACAGGCTGAAACGAAACGTCTTCAAACGCGATTCGCCCGAATGGTGCTCTCGATCCAGTCCATGTAGCCGCTGACCCTGGTGTAGATGCCCGAGATTTGCTTCTGGCCGCAGTGCTCCCTGCCAATGGAGACGATCCCGGCGAGGTAGACATGCCGACTGCCCTCCGGCGTGTTGGCCTCCACGGTCAGCGGTCCGCCGGAGTCGCCGGCGCAGGAATCGACCCCGATCTCGCCGCCGGCGCACATCTGGCCCTCGGTGAGCACGATGCTCGAGTCCTGGGCGAAGGCCTCCTGGCACTGCTCCTGCGCCTGGATGGTCAGCATGGCCTTCCGCTTCACCCGGCTGCTGGCACTCGACTCGGTCTTGCCCCAGCCGGAGACGTCGGCCGCCGAGCCGGCCAGCTGGTTGGCGTTCCTGCCCCTCGCCGGCGGCAGGCAGACGGGCTCCAGATTCTTCACCTGCAGCCAGTTCACCGGGCGGGAAAGTCTCAACAAGGCTATGTCATTCACGTAGGTGCGGTTCGAGTAGCGCTCGTGGGACAGGACGCGATCGAAGGTCACTCTGGTGTGCGGCGGGGCACAGTCCCGCTCCCCCTCGTAGGTCACGCAGTCGGGATCCGTGTCCCTGTCCCACTCCCCCAGAATGGCGGCCGTCAGCCGCCTGCCATGCGTCTCGATGCAGTGGGCCGCGGTGACGAGCCATCGCTGGGCGATGAAGGAGGCTCCGCAGGCGTAGTCCTTGGTGCGATCCGCCAGGATCTCGTACTCCAGCAGCACCGTCCAGGGGAACTCGTAGAGGCCCGTTTCGTGGCCCCCGAACACGCGGAAGGCGAAGGCCGATCCGCAGTACGGGTGCTGGGGCAGCTCATCGATCCCCGTGGGCGGCGACGGGCGGCGGCTGGATAGCAGCTTCAGCAGGGTGGTGCTCCTGTTCGACGGCGAGGGACTGGTGGTCACATTGCCTATTCGGGGGGCAAAGGGCGGTATGATGTTCGTCTCGCGGGGACAACACACCTGTAATAAAATATAATACAAAATATTTTAGAAAGCTATATTGCAAGTAATATGTACCTTTAAACAAAAACAAACATTTCCTTACAAATTTGGCACTTGGCATTTTGCCAGCTTTTTAAGTGCTTAAATGTGGTTTATCAAAAAATACAAAATAATATGAAAAAAAACTTAGAGCTAAAAACAGCCTTTTTTATAAAAATATCATAATATTCTTCCAAATGACTTTTTATTTAATATAATAGTATCTTTAAGCTTTAGGGTAAAAAGTAAATAAAATAATTAAACTAAAGCAAATAAAAGTTTAAAATAGCATATTTTTTTAAGCAAATATAAATTAAAGCATTTAATAAATATCTAATAAATTATGAATATTTTCTTTGTGTTAAATATAAAAAAAAAAGCCGCAAAATAATATTAATTGGTTAAGAAAACCCCCTTGGAAAATGTTTGTTTCCCCTAAGACGCAAATGAGCGTGAGGCCCATAAATTACCAGCCAGCTGTAATGCTAATAAACAACTTTGGGCAGGCGAAGAAGATCTCCACTGAGTGCGGCTAATAGAAACTGGTTAATAATGGGAAACGTGTTTGTTGGGGGGAAATAGTATAGCTACCACATAGTATATATATACTATATTCTTACCAGATCGGGTCGCTGGCGGGAGAAGCACTGCTGTTTGCTGGCCAAATCCGATAGCTTATCGACGGCGTAAAAGTCGCAGTCCTTCTTCTCGATGCAGGTTCCCCTGCCGAATTCCGCCGAGTTGCAGTTGCCGAAATGCATGATGGCTTCTGAAAACGAAACAAGTATATGAATACCAGAAAATACTAGCAATAATTACTAGAAATAGAATTACTGCCAAGTTGCTGGGCCCCTGAGGCTCCCAAAAGGGCCAAGAGCAGGCTGGCGATTAGCAGGCTCATTTTCCTCCAGATTTTCCCACTCTTCTCTATTTCTATTCGTATTTTCCGCTTCGATTGATTCTCGAGTCGTTGGCGAAGCTGCGTCCCCAGTGGCTGGCAATCAACTACTGATCTCTGGCGATCGGCAATGGGCAACCTCGCAAACGCGACCCTCGCAATCTTGGCTTTTCCATCCCCGCGGTTGCATTGATTAGCCGATCGATCGACTCGATTCGGAATCGGTTCGAATAGAATAGCATCTCATTGATTGCGGCCAGGCGGGAAAACCCGTTGCCGCTGCCACTGCCACTGCCTTCCAGTCGCTCTTCCAGCCGCCGCTCAATAGAAATATCAAATACTCGTAATTATTCGCCTACGTGTGTCATTTAATTCGCAAAACACTTCCATTTCCACCGCTCGCCGCTAAAATCCACTTGTTTTCATTGCGGTTTTTGCAGCTATCAGTCGTAAAGCTGGGAAAGTGCGAGCGAACGTTTGGTTTTTGGGAGAGTCGGCGACCGCTTCTCGTTGGAAATATTTTAAAAATAATGCAACACAATCGGGTGATAAGAAGGTTAAATATGATAAAGCCCAATAAAAATATTTCAAGAACGGCATGCAAAGGAGATTGCACTTTTTTAAAAATATCACCTAATCAATAAATAATAAATTTGATAGGGGAGTGTAGGGTAAGGTGACGAACGATTCGTTTTTTGAATGTAACTTTTGTAAAAATCAATATTTTTCAAAAGTGTAAACGCAGAAAGTTGCTTACATCTACTGAGCATATCCCTGTAAAATTCGAAATTCGAAATTCCAATGCAGCTAAATCCCACAGCGTTTGGGGTGAACCCTACTTTTTTTGCACTTTCAAAAGTTGTAGGGTAATGTGACGAACGATTTGTTCTTTAATGTAACTTCTCCAAAAATCAATATTTTTTAAAAGTGTAAAAGCAGAAAGTTGCTTACATTTACTGAGCATATTTCTAAAAAAATTTGGATTCGAAATTTCAACGTAGCCAAAACCCACAGCGTTTGGTGTAAACCATCCTTTTTACAAACAAAAAAATACATTTTTTTATATATTATTTACGGAAAGGTTATTTTCGACACGTAAAAGAAAAAAGTAATAAGATAATACCCAAACTTACAAAAAAAATGGTCAAAGTGCAATTTTTTTTTTAAATTAAATTAAACTGACGTCACTATTAAAAACAACAATAAAACTGCAGCAATAAATGTTATCTGGTATTATTATATTTTTTTTACAAATAATCAACGATAACAATTAAAATTCTTGAATTAAAAAAGTTCGTCACAATACCCTACAAAAAGTTCGTCACGATACCCTACAAGGTAGACTTGTAGCAAAAACGGTGTCACTCTCAAACGGCGCAAAAGAAAAAAACGCGAGGTACCAAAAACTGTTGATAAATATCTCATGTATACGTGCATATATTTGCCTGATTTTATTTTCCACTCAGCTTTGCTCTGGCACTGCTGAAACACAAGTAAATTGAATGGGTTTGCTAGTTTGCGCACCACATTTTTAGCGAAAATTACCTCACGAACAAATTACGGGACTTCTTATTAATATTACTGTAAATACATTTTCAACACGATAAGGGGAGACGACTACATTTATTTGGAATTTTTGTCGTGACGTCATATATGAGATTCGACGAGTTCGTCACATTACCCTACTCGTCAAATTACCCTACACTCCCCTACTGATTTTGATTATTTTATTTTATTATAATATTTTAATATTTATTATTTTTCTATCAGTATTTATAGTCATTTTAATTAAAATTATTTTAATTGAATATAGTTGACATATATTAATATATTTTCATATATTTTATTTCAATTTAATTCTACTTTCTTTTCTTGCTAACAAAAATTTAAAATGTAAATAAATACAGTAGAATTTTAATCCATTGTTATAAAACCAGGAAAAACATCTTAAATTATATAATGATTTATTATAAACAATTTGAATAAACATAAAGGCCGATTAATCAGGTTTGTTATATTATATATATTAACCATTCATGACTTAGTGATAACTAACTGAGAATCTCTTATTCAGGTTTTCCCAACCTCAGACACCGAAGATTTCTGGAGAAACCCCCGATCGGTTGCAAAACCCAGATGCGAATCAATGCATTAATTATACCTCATATCATATCATCTATTGAAGTGCGTATCAAAATGGGTAATTAATTTCGCCAGGGAAAATATAAAATATATATGGGTAATATAGATACTCTCGCTTTTGGCCTACAAAGAATATTCATGTGTCCAGCGATTTGTGTGCCAAAAAATAAATTCAACACAAATGTATTTTTGTATATACACTCATAAAAAAAATCGCCATTGATTCAAGAAATTCGCCATTGATTCAAGAAAATCGCCTATGATTTTCAGCCAACGGCGATTCGCCATTAATAATGGGAAATAATTTTCTTGAATTTACGGTTTTGCCTTTCTAAAAATCATTACCAATTTTTCTGAATTTTACGGCAAAAAACCCTAAAATTAAGAAAAATTTTCTTAAAAATAGAAAAATAAAAGTATATTTGTTTATAAACTTTTTTTTTAATTTTTGTCCGACTGATTTTTTTATCACTTTTTAATTTGTTAACTAAGAGGAAGGAAACCTTTTCATGTTTTAATGACAATCATATCGTGACAATAGGGTACATTTTTATTTATTTATTTAATTTAAATTCAAATTTATTATAAATGTTTATTAATTACAATGCATTTTAAGTACAGAAAAAACTTTTTGTAAACATATAAAAGACTTAAGGAAAAATTCTTACCTCGACCTGAACTCGAACTCGCGACCGCTCACACCATAGACAGACATCTTAACCACTCGGCCACGCGTGCTTCTTGCAATGCAATGGCTTAAGATGCCTAAAGTGTTAACGGTCGTATTATTGGTAAATTGGTAAATCTTGTTAACAACAGTTTTAACAATTTAGTGAATGGAAAACCAAAACAAAAGATTTTTTATACCAAAAATAAAAACAATAACTATTAAAAAAAAAATCAGACTCGTCCCTGCGTGAAGTCGAACCGCGGTTTCCGCGGCGACTTTTGTACACATGTTTAGTGTCCGAACGCCTCTAACAGCTAGGCCACCATACTAGAACTTTAAAAAATTACACAACTTTCCTAAAAAATAGGTATTGTTTTTCTAGAATCAAAGGCGATTTCGCCATTAACTCAAGAAAAAAGTCCGGAAAATATTGCCATTAATCCAAGAAAATATCGCCATTAATCCAAGAAAAAAATCAACTATTCTTCTTCTTATTCATTTTATAAAAAATTTTATGGCAAATTTCCATAAACCTAAGAAAATTTTTCTATAATCTAGAAAAATTTTCTTAATTCAATGGCGATTTGAAATCACGGGCGATTTTCTAAAATTAAGGGCGATTTTTTTTCTGAGTGTATTTTCCACGTCCAACTCTGGGCTTTCCCTTCTTTCCCGATTTTCCCTAAAATGCCCGCAGTGAAATCTACGAAAATGTCACAGCAAAAACCGCATGCAGCACAAAAGTTGCAACTTTTTGCCCAGTGGGCGTGGCAGATGGCGCCTTCGCCTGCGTCTTCTCTTTCTCCTTTCTCCTTCAACAAGCTGTGCTCTATTAGAATCTTCTTTCTGAGTGCTGCCTTTTGCATAAATGCAAAATATTCAAGGCTCAAACTGTGCCAGCTATGAAAATCTGTCTGAAAAACGGGGAAAGGGGAAAAGGGAAGGGAAAACCGGGGCGATATGTCCGCACGCAGGATACGAAATTTGAAATGTTGCAGCTGCATGGTCAACAGCAACAATAATTTAAAAGGCCACAAGTAGCGCATTTTAGTTACCTCTCAAGGCTGGAAATTTCTTTATTATTTTGTTTTTTATTTTAAAATATTTTCCCAATTTTTCACATGATAAAATCTAAATTACAAAAACATGACATCGTATTTTATTAAATTTAAAATTATGTATATTACAATACACCTTTTCTTTAATTTTTTTTTAAATGAGTAAATCTTGACACATTTTTTGAAAAATTAAAAAAAATATTTATATCCATGCAATACAATTTTTATTTACTTTTTTAAATACAGCTTCTCTGGGAAATTTATTCAAAAATTTGCAAAAGAAAGCTTTCCAAGCATGATATTCTTTTTTATTTCTTGTTCTTTTTATAAGACTTTAAGATAAACCATTTTTGAATGCCATTTCCTGCTAATATTCAGCCAGATTAATTTCATATTTATTGGCCGGCTCTCTCGGAACCCACGGCCGTATTCCATGGGATCCTTCCACTTGATTGCAGTTGCCAATTTCCAGGCCACAACTCGAAACGGAAGTTTTCCTGCCCACCGAGATGCGAGATGCGTCGTCTGTGCCATGGCTTTTCTTTCCTGTGAACTGTTTTGTAGTCCTCGCTCTCTTTTATTATTATTTTTTCACAGCACGCAAAACTTTGTCCACAGTTCTGACTTCCCAGTGGGCGGGTCGGCTTCATTGGGCACTACGTGAGATGCGGGTGGGCGTGGCAGAGGGAAGGGGTTTTCAGGAGGTTTTCAGGAGGCAGGAAGCCAAACTTGAGGCAGAGCAGAAGTATCTGTTGCAATGTCACCGACTTGAAATGGCCAAAAGCAGAGAAAGGGGGCGGGGCAGCTGGTAAACGATAATGAATAATGTTGCTGGCGATAATGTTGCCGCCTCCGTCAGCAACATGAAACTATTCGAGGAGCCAGGCGATGGCATCGTGTGAAAAAAAGCACGAAAATCACGAAAAAGTGTTAGAAAGTAAGAAAAATCTTATAGCAAATTCAAGATCGTTTTTACATTTACTGAATTTATACTTAGAAACGAAAAGGCAATATTAAAAAATTGTATTTTATATTGTTATTCATTTATTTCAAGATCATTTTTATTACAATCCTATTAAAATAATTTGTATGATTAAATAAATGAATAAACGATATTTAAAAACCCTATCCAAATAATCCTTTAGCAATTTAAAGATTCTTCCTTAAAAATATTATAATATTTATTCCTAAACTAGTGTCAAAAACTAATGAAATATATTTTTGAAAATCTTTTTCACTTAGTAAAAACTTCTGGAA